CTAGACAGTTGAGAAAAGGGCTGCAGGACGGTATCCTGGGAGACCCTCATTGTTATTCTTGGTATTGAGCTGTAGTCACTCTGTGTTCATTTCGTTCTTTGTGTAGTTGTTATTATTTTGTTAGTCTGTCTTATCTCACTGCTGTACTCATTATTTCTGTCTGATTGTCATACTGTTAATTAATATTATATTTTGCCTCAGTAGGGCCCTGACCTTCCTCGTCACTACCCAACCGAGGTTAGGCTTGGCACTTACTGAGTACCGCTGTGGTGTACTCATGCCCTTCCTGCGCATGTTTTTCATGTGCAGATCCAGGTACCTCTTCTCAGGCGCACTATCCTTGAGGCGAGGAGACACACGGAGACTTCGAGGTATATCTGCAGCGTCCGCAGACCGAAGAGTCTTCTTCTTTATTCTAGTTGTAGAGCTGTTATCCTATCATACTTTTGATGTAGATATTCTGGAGATTAGAGTACTTATGGTAATTCTATTAGCCTGTGTTTCCCGTGAGCTTCCGGGTTTTGGGATTGAGTTGTAGACTTCCGCGTATCTTTAGAGTTGTATAGGCCGGGCGGCCTTATATTTAGTTGTTATTTTTCATATGTTCAGTTTTAATTGATTATCCCTCAAGTTAAATTGTTATTTCCGCACTGTTAGGCTTACCTAGATGTAGGAACTAGCTGCCATCACGACATGTTCATGGAGGGTGAACGGGGGTCGTGACAGTAAATATTCACGCCTTTTTGGGTTTTGGCGCCTCCTCTTGTGCCCGCGGTACTCCTACTTCTTATTCAACAAATCAATTAGCTACTTAAATAAGTAGTAATAGGTTTAGTACTTACTGCCCGTTTGGCCAAGCTGACCAAAACTACTTATATTTTAAAAAGTGCTTTTGCTCAAAAATTAAAAAGTACTTTTGAAAAATTATAGTTCGTGTTTGGCCACTTCAATAAGAAGTATTTTAATAAGCAAATTGTGTTTGGATAATCTTTTCAAAAAGTAGGGAAAAGTTAACAACGAAACTAAAGAGAAAAGCACAAAAAAATTAGCATGAAATAAAATAAAGCACACAAAAACTATTTATCATTAAGTATGAACTAATACTTATTTAAACTAGCTAAAATAAATAATAAAAGAGGGTGAGCAATTTTAAAAAAAACAAAAAAACAAGATACTTCACCTATATGAATATTGTTTATAATTGTCAGTTTTTATAATAAGACAGAGGCTCTTTTGAGTTATCTTAGCTAACTACAACTAATTTAGAATATTGCATTTTGTCATAACACAAACTTTCATTAAAAAAAAAGGAGGATAATAGTACATGCCCTAGAAAACAAAAGGGAACTGCACTAATATTTGGCCATAAGTTAAAATAGATATATATTTCGTTATGTGGGCTGCATTGATTTCTGATGACCTTTTCATAATTTTTTGTGCTCTGGTGGTACAAGTAATCACAGTTCAGTAACACTTCCATGTTCAACAGTGCACCATCTGCATTTTATTTTAATAATTAATAAGCTAAAGCTAAAATGTTTGATGTTGAAAGTAGAGATACATTTTCAATATTTTTATTTCTTATGTTAATGATATGATTATAAATACGAACATAGAGATAGATGAGGTAAAGGAATACAGATCTGCTAGATGGGTATCACCTTCGGAAGCTCTCTCTCTCTTTTTTTTTTTTTTTTAGGGGGGGGGGGGGGGTATTCGATTTGGATGTGACCTTTTTACTATTACTTGAGCCAAAGGGCTATCAGAAAGATGGGATTTTGGTGCAGAAATAGTGTGCATAAGGTAGACTGACATGGATGAAAAGGATGTGTCTGCAGTTTGAAGGTTGTGAGGGCAATGATTATGTTGTATTTGCCATTTTGGAGGTTTGTTTGGGTGGATCAACTCGCTAAGCCCGGGCCCAAACTTATGTTATTTTATAAAAAGAGTGCATAAATTTTTATGAGATGTATTAGTTTGAGAAACTCAATTCGAGGGGTCTTCTATATGGATTCAAACGTTATTATCCTGAAATTCTCTCTGCATAAATGAATTTTATTTAATTGTAATAGTTCATTCGAGCCATTACATTTCAACTTCCTGAAGCGGATTTGTTAACTTAAGTAACTTGTGGTGTATATGTATATTTGGGAGCCAATTCATTTATCTGCTATCTTTTATTAAAAAAGTTTTCATTGACCTTCGACGATCTTTCTTAGGCTGTCTGGGTATAGAAAACTGAACTTTTAGCTTTTGCACTTGCCATTTATTAACTCCATTATAAGAGGCAGTTTGAGGAGCTTGGGGTCGTCAAGGGCATTTTGGGAAAACTGTAAATATTTTGGCCTAAGCCACGTGCTAACGCTTTGCAACTTATGAACGCTCGTTCTACTACCGTTTTGCTTCGTCTCTCTGGCTCTTCCCTCTCCAGGTCAGCTGCCTGTACAATATTAGCTGAATTTTTCCAAAAAAATTTCTTTGTTTCCCCCACCTTTTCTGATTATAAGTGTTATTTAGATACAAGATTGTGTTGATTTTTTATTTGAAGAATGTCTCCTTACGCTGTTTTGAATCTGGCATGGAAGACTTACGTAGCTTCCGTCTTAAATTTAAGCTAATTGGTGATATATTGCTACGCCTCTACTTTGCTTGTTCCGCTTTGCTCTTTCCATGGTTTAATTTTGGTATTCATTTGTTTCAACTCTTTTAAAAGTGCAATGACATCAGATTTGAGTTTGTATTTTTGATACTACTCCAGACTTGCATTAGAGATGTTTGAGAATTGCCCGAAAGAAACTACCAACTATGTGGACTCTGTTAGGGAGCTCCTACACCCAGTTGTCTTTGGTTGGCTAAAATAGCTTCGAGTAGGAGTAAATACCACAATGGACGAGAACAGATTGAAGCTTGCTATAACCTGAATTGCCACCCAAAACCTATGCTTTTGGGCCTCGGAATCTTGCGAATCAGGTAAGGTAATGTTGTTTTCAGGAGAGGTCGGCAGAGGAAAATCAAGTGCTTAATACCAACATCTTAGGTAACCTAATGGAAATAAAAGCTAAAGCATTGAATTTATATACATACTAATAAAACTTTAACAATAATTGAGAAAATTAATGATAAAAAGCTCCAGTGCAAGAAAAACTAAAGTGGCTTTACTTCATGCATAAATAACACAAGGTGACTAGCATTCAGTGAGCAGCTCATATTGTCATAGCGCACATTTTTTGTGGTAAAAATTACCTTAAATCTTAACAGTAGAACACAACAGCACACCTTCACATGAAAAAAATATTTAAACATAAAGGAAAATAATGGAAGGAATGAACTTTAAGCCTGGTCAGACACTCTAAATCTACCAAGCTTCCTCTTTTACACTCTTTACAGTGTACAAAAAGATGGAGCAGATTCCAATTATGCAGGGGATAGTTGATCAACGAAATGTAGGTTACTTTTAGTAGAAGAAGCCCATATCGTATAGAGCCTTAACTCAATATGTTGGTACATGAATAGAAGAAAACCAATTGATGAAAGTATACTGCAAAGAATAAAGTGTATCCATTACTTAAAGAACAATTTGTGTATGGAAATTCTGTTTTTGGATGAATAGTAGTCTTCTACCATTTTTCGTTGCCTGGAGATGTGCTTAGTTCAAATAAATGATGCTACTGTTGGATTGCTTGAGCATGTTGTTTGTTTTTTTTCCCGTATTTTTTGGTTGGTTGAAAATTTGGTGATAGCTTGAGCATGTTATCTTTACATGCACTGAAGCAGTACAATTGTTGATATACATTACTAATCATAAATGTTACAGAATGACAAAGGCACAACATTTTGAAGCAATTACATTGGATTTTTGAAATGGCAGATAGTGAGAGTTCATATTAACTTAGACATTAAACCATTGATATTGTGCATGATGATTGAACATAAAATATAATTTTGTATTTTCGTCAAGTCTTTTGAACATAAACTATAGTTTATTTCTCTTTTTAACATTTCATGAAGAACTTGGATGCAAATATCTACAGATGAAAAATGAACTCATGGATTCCAAAAAAAGTAACAACTCGAGGGTAGTCGCATTCACCGCAAAAGGAGGTTCCCAGTAAGCAGATTTGTTCTACCAAAAGTCACACTAAGGTATTAAAATTAAATGACAAAGTAAATGCCTATTTATGTGCCTATTGCTCCCTTCAAAGATATCAATCAAAATATTTTCCATCCCTTAAAAATGTTCAAATAAAAGGGGTAGCTATGGGTCGTGCAGTGGATTTAACTATACTCACTTGATATAATTAGCTCATAAAGTAACTTAAGGAGATGTTTGAAATTCAGGAAGAGTTTCGCATCCGAAATAAGTAGGAGAGCATTTTTACATATGATGAAGAGCTAATGATGCCTATCTTTGATCATCCTTCTATGTAATTGTCCATTTATCCATTCAACATAAAATTTAAAAATATATATGCCAATTATCTACTATGCATATCATGGTGCTCAATTAGTTTATTGCAACAATGTGGTGAAGAAGATTTATATTTGAAAGTGGTATACGTTTTGATATCATGAAATTCTGATCTTGTGGATATAAAAAAATCTACGAAATACATTAGTTACAAGGAGGACTGTCAAAAAAAAACAAATATATCTCTAGATATTTTACCCTTCTTCTGGGGCAGTCAAAATGGAATTATACAAGCCACAAATCCAAATGAGATCGTATCAAGTTTCTTTTTCTGCATTTTTATAAATTAACGTGATTAGTTCTGAAGAATGCCAATAAGTCCAACAAATTATTCTCAACGAGGTGACAGTTTTCATCCCTATTTTGGTAGCTTTTCTGCTACCTCTTTCGGCTTACAAAACTATGGTCTCCTCCATTACTCTGGAGTACCTATTGCACTCGGTTGAAATGAACTGGACATTTAGTTTTTTGATTTCTGCGAATGAAAACCAAAAAAATTACAGATTTCAGAACACAATACACAGATATCAGGTACCATAACGACGTATATATTCATTCCAGAAGGTTTTATTTTTTCAATTGGGAAAACAGGTTAGTATCAGAGTACCCTTCCGTGTAAAACAGTATGTTCTAAACAGAAATTGTTTCATAGAGATGCAAAGGAAGAAGATCAAGCTTTACGAAACACTTCGATGGTAGATTTAAGGCTGCAAAATAGTACGTTCGAGGTTCCAGAGACAAAGCTATAGTTATACTAATAGAGAGAGAAAATAGAAACTAGAATCTCATTGCAACTCTTTCTTGTTTTTCCTCATTCAGTTGCTTTTCCTTTACGTCTGCTGCTATTGCTGGTTTCAAGGAGATAACACCATTGAATCCACATCATCCCCGAATATGCTATAAGCCTCTATTACTCGTGCATAACTAAATCCCATCGACAGCATAATCTGGATGCAGTCACTAAGAACTTTTCGCCCCCACCTTCTTGCTTCGCTCCACTTCCCGATGACCCTGCAAGACCATAACCAGTTGATGCTATCACAATAGAAGAACAAACAAAAGAATCATGTATTGTTCATGAATGCCAATTCCCCAATGGAGTGCCGGCTCGAACTTACTAGCTCCTGAAGATGATGGTTCAGCGCTAGAATTGGAAGATTCTCGACAACCAAGCTGCTGCCTGAATTTGTCATTGGCAATATACTCGGCCCTAGAAGCTTCCATTACCATGCGTTCAATCTCCTTTTCGGTGAGCTCAAGATCAGAATAAAAGCGTCCTTCCACTAGAAGTGCCTGAATTGAACCATTTAACATAACACGAAAAATGATTGCCCGGTCTGTGAAAGTAATTCAGTTCACCAGTTTTAAGGTAACTCACAATATCAATTTGCTGATCCTGTTGAGCTTTTATTGCTGCTTTGACCTGATCCTTATCAACGTTCCTCTATACCAAAAATAAAAAATAAAAAAAATCAGAAGGTAAGGATGGAAAACAGATCTACTAGATGCTTACAAATAAAAAAAAAAAATAACACCACCCACATAATTCAACACCCAAGAGCTGTAGGCACACAACCGATGAAGTTTCACTAGTTTCAACAGCTACAGAAAGTAAACATCATGCCAGTTTGTAGCAGTGATAAGAAAAACGACCGCTTCCTCGCTTTAAGCGAGAAGCGAAGCCGAGCGGAGGGTCGGCGCTTCTACCATTAAAAGCGACTCTGGTAAAAAAGGCGACCGCTTCTCGGTAAAAAGTGAGAAGCGGTGACAGCGAGAAGAAGCGAGGTAAGGGACGCTTTTTAAATTAAAATACCCAAAGCCCTATTTAATTAAAAACATTGCATTCTATTTACTCTGGACTCTTCAGCAGCGAGATTAAACTAGCGAGAAACTAGGGTTCTCATAAAAGCAACGATTTCTTCCTCTCTTCTTCATTAACTTCAAGCAGCAATTTCTCTTCCTCAAACTAGGGTTCTTCTTCTTCTTCATTAAATTATCTTTTGAATCGATGCATCCATTGCTATTTGCTATGCCTGTGGTCAACTTATCCGTCATTCCAAGTTATTACTAGTGCTGGTTAACTAGTTGACTTATAATAAATTTTTGTATTTTTCAAATATATAAAAAAAAATTAAGAAACTTTAAGAATCTATACGCGCTAATTCACACTGAAAATTAAGTTCCTTTCACATTCGTTCCTTCATATAACTTTTGTACATCGTAGGTCAGTGTAAAGTATTTTTTATACTATCACGTCACTTTAAGGACATCTACTGATAAACCTTTTCAAAATGCGGGTACGTACTCCAACAGATAAATATGACCTAATGGTGTATTGACACAATACATATGACTTAAAATCTTTTTTTAATTACCTTCATCGGCAAAAGAAGTAAAGTGACTCTTTCTGTTTATTGAAAGGCAAAGAAATCTTATATAGAGAACTTCATTTATAGCCCATCGGGCCAAATATATATCATCCGGTAGCCATAAATTAAACCATACAAGTCATAGCCTAAAAATAATAACAACTGCTAGCCGGAAACTCACTGATCGAATTCTTTTCGTTTAGATACCTCGCCGGAAAAACCTAGAACCGTCCAGATCTAAGAAGATCTGGACTTTTACCCGTCGCCACAAAACTCAAAATCAAAAAATTAAAAAAGAAATTCCGCTACTGCTCTTATTGGTGTCATTGATTCTGCACTTTGAATCGAGAAAAGAAACTCATGTCTGGGTTTGGAACTTCTGTTAATGTTTGTTTGTTACTGAAAAGTGAGATTTGGAATTGTTCCGTTGAATTGAAATACTGTTAATTTAGTGATTTGATGAATTGGGCGAAGCGAATTGACGAGTAAAATTCAAAATCCACTTACTTTGAGTTTGTGACTTTTGCATCTGTTGGTGAAATTTGTTTCAAGGATTAAATCATTGCTTGGGAAATTGATGTGAACTAATACCGTCGCCAGCCAGTGGTCAATTCCGGCGGTGACTAGTAAAAATCAGTAGCAGCAACCTATAGGGAAGAAGAGGAAAGCGAGAGGAGCAGTCATGGTCATAGTTCGCTGGCTGGATTTCGGCAGTGGTGTAGCATAAGGCAACGAGAGAGACAACCTTGTCTTCTTCTCTGATTTTCTCTTATAGTTTCTGTGAATATGTAGATAATATTTTGAAGATCTTTGGCTAAAAGTTTAAAACTCCGGCGATCTTGTTACCATTTTCGGCGACTGTGAGGCCATGGACGCTGGNTCAAATGAGGGGGAAGATCAGAGGAGATGATTATGCATAAAGTTGAAATATATACAAAAATTGAATGTCATTATACAAAAAAATATACAAAAATTGAATGTCATTATACAAAAAATATACTAAATAGACTGTCACTATACAATTTTTATACAAATAGAGCGTCACTATACAAAATATATACAAAAATAGAATGTCATTATACAAAAAATATACTAAATAGACTGTCATTATATTAAACAGAGTGTCTATCCACTGAGCTACAAGCGCTTGTGTTGTCATGTTTATTCCTTTCGGCTACTATATGCAATACGTTTGGGCCGAAGGGCCATTTTTTGTAAGTAGGACAAAACATGGGCTATTAAAATTTTGAGGGGCTATAGAGGGTAGTTTTCTCAATCTTATAGGCGCATTTAAAAAACTGCAAAAGACCTAAAAAAAAACTCGATTAAAAAAACTGAGATAGTACCAGTACTTGGGAAGTCTACGCAAGGGAATTAGTGGGTAACATCAATAATCATAAAAATTAAACGCTACAACATCTCTTTATAAGGTAATCTCATCGCATGTATATGTATATGCAACAACAATCAAGATAGTAGTAATTCAATTATATTCAAGAAACGATCACAGTTTAGGCAAAGATGGGGAGCAGATTTGTGTGGAAAATTGTTTTGCTTTTAGTTTTTATTGGATGGCTTTTCATCTGGATAATGTTACCTACAAAGACTTATAAAGATTCATGGACTCCCCAGCTCCAAATCAAGCTCAACTCTACATATTTCAGAGAGCAAGGTAAATGGTACTCCATTAATTAAATTAGCGTAGTCTAATATCTTCCCGTTTTTCCAAGTTAGTATAACACCAAATCTCATGAACCATTTCCTTAAGTTGATGAGGAGCAAATTTGGACCTTTGCCCTAAACCTAATTGACACTTCTTTACTGCAGGGACAAATTTTCTTTTATTTACATTTCCTATA